ATAACCTTAAGTGTAGGATTTTTACTGGATTTTTGGATTTTTTTTTTTTTTTTTTTTTGATACACAACAGCATATAGCAAGCAATCTATAGATATGTAAGTGAATGAATAAATGGGATTGCTATACATGGAGCTGCTTTTTTAGAAAGACAGAGAGAGAGAGAGAGAAGCAATTACAACAAGATGTGTCTTGTGAAATAGTAGAATATTAGAACTAGAAGGAGCCCTGGAGACTATTTGATCAGCATTTTCCACTGTTCATTCTAGCATTTAAGGTCCCATAGGTATGACACTGAAACACTGGGGAGCTTAAGACCGAATGAAACAGCTTTCTTTACTACAGGACTTCTCAGAACTTAGATGTGCAAATATATGCTTTAAATCATCAAGATGAGGATTTAGTAATATGTAGGGCTTCACAGATGTGTTTGACCAGGTACAAGAATTTTGTTTTCCTCCCTAAAATATCTATTAAGACTTTCCAAAAGCTTTGTCTGTTGGAACGTGGTTGGGAAAATACTAATTTGGTTCAACCCTAAAACCCAAAGAGATTGACTTTTTTGTGAAAAGAGTATAAAGTTGGTGACATGTTCATGTCTTTTCCACTATTTTCCAGACTTCATGTTCTTTTCATCTCTTATTAGTATACCCCTCTGTTTTGTCACATACAGTGCCAAAGTAGTGAATGTGGGCATGGTGACAGAACGATAGTCTCTCCACTGTGGGCACACATGCCTGGATATAAATTCTGTCAGCAACTGGCTGAGCAAGATCTTTCATCTTTTTTTCTTTCAGACCGACTGGCCTGAGGGCTACCAACTTTCAAGTGCGATGAACTTCCGCTGGCCTCAGTGTATACCCAATAATTTAAAGACCCTGATTCCAAATGCTAGCAGTGAAGCAATTCAGCTCATGAGAGACATGCTTCAGTGGGATCCCAAGAAACGACCAACAGCTAGTCAGGTTTTCTTCCATTTGATGTGTTTCTTATGAAGTTTCTACCAAACTCTAAATAATTTATATAAATATCATAGGAAATGCTTTATTTGGTAGTATAGATGAAAAATAGTATCAAATACCACTGAAGGTGTACTGTATAAGATACATATACTTAAAATAGTTTGAAATATACTGAGTGTAGTTAAAGTAGTTAATATTTAAACAATATAGTTACTTTGAAAATCAGAATACAATTCATCACCATATGTAAGTCCACATATATATAGACATAAAAATAAATACCTGTATCTATCTGTCTCTGGAGAATGTTTTTAAATATATTTCCTTTGAGTTCTGACTGTGTGGCAGTTTGTCGTGATACTGTTTTATAGTTGGTTTTGGCTAAGAAGGGTCCCTGGGTGGCACAGTGCATTTGACTCTTAGCCTAATTGTTGGAGGTTTGAACCTACCCATTGGTGCCATGGAAGAAAGTCTTGGTGTGATCTGCTTCTATAAATATTACAACCGAGAAAACTCTGAAGCAGTTCTACTCTGTCACGTATAAGGTTGCCATGACAAGTCAACAGCAATGGGTTTTTGGTTTTTTTGTAAGCTTGACACCTAAAATAGACCCCAGTGATTCTGATGGTATTAATCTTCCTGGTCAAACTGTTCTCCTAAATCCACCATCTTTGTCATTCCAGGCCCTTCGATATCCTTACTTTCAGATTGGGCACCCACTGGGCAGCACCACCCAGAACCTCCAAAATTCAGGAAAACCACCGAAAGATGTTCTGGAAAAGGCAGGCCCACCTTCCCAAATTAAACCTGTCCCTCCTGCGCAGCCCCCAACCAAGCCACACACACGAATTTCTTCACGACAACATCAAAGCAGCCAGCCCCCTCCACATCTTGTGTTCCCCTACAAAGCGGAGTCCTCCAGGGCAGATCACCTGAGCCATCTCCATGACGACAAGCCAAGCCCACTGCTTTTCCCATCCCTCCACAACAAGAACCCTCAGTCGGTAAGCCATGAAGAGTCACCATTGGACTTGTATCTAACTTATTCTTCCGCTGACCTTACTTATCATGGGAAGTATTTTATTTTTTAGGATATAAAGCCTAATTATAGTAAATTCATCTTTGTAGTCACATGGAATTGTGAAAAGAGCCTTGGCTTTAGATTGTTTTTGTTGTTAGGTGCCATCAGGTTGTTTTTGGACTCATAGTGACCCCATGTGACAAAGTAGAACTGCTCTGTAGGATTTTCTTGGCTGCAGTCTTTACAGGAGCAGATCACCAGGTCTCTCTCCACCTCAGCCACTGGGTGGGTTCGAACAGCCAACTTTTCCGTTAGCATCTGAGAACTTAACCTTTGTGCCAATGAGACTCCTTGGCTTTAGAGTGAGAAGATCTCGATGCAGTTTCCAGCTCTGCCTCTTAATAATGGTGGAATCATGTGGGGAAGCTGTCCTGTGGTGGTGGAGAGCTGGACTCTGGATCGCAAGGGTTTCAAATACCCACTCTGTAATTCAGTAGCTCAATGACATAGTACTTGCTCTCTCTGCTGCTTGTTTTAACATCTGTAAAATAAGAATAATATTAGTACTGACCTCATATAATTGTTTGAATACTAAATGAGTTAATATTAGAAAATAATTTAGACTAGTAGCTGGCAGCTTGTTAGCATTTGATAAATGTTAATTATTATTATCTTTAACCCCTGTGGACTCAGTTTCCTCATCTGTAATATATATCTTGCCCCCCCAGACAGGATTGGTCCTGAAAATCAAGGGTCATGATGCTTGTGGAAATGTTTTGAAAATTGTAAAATGCCATACAATACTTGTAGATAATTAATCATGTGAATCCTTTTTGATACCAGATTTTTCTTCTTCTCTTAGTCTGGCTTTCAATGATTCAATAAAATAATAACCCAACAAAAGATTCTAGTTCCCAGGAGCTTTGTGGTGCTGTATGAACCATCTATAATTTAATACCTTTATGCAAAAGTAATACATTTTCTGTCAACTAGTACTCACTGAAGATGTCCTGGTGGCACAACAGTTAAGTGTTTGGCTGCTAACCCAAAGGTTGGCAGTTTGAAACCCACTCTGCAGTGTCACAGGAAAAAGATCTGGCTGTCTGCTTCCATACAAATTATAATCAAGAAAACCTTATGGGGCAGTTCTACTCTATCACACAAGGTCACTATGAGTCCAAATTGATAAAACGCAACAACAGCAGTATTCACTGAATACTGACTCAGTGCAACATACTGAAAGAGGTTATAAGGGTGATCTCTCTAGACTGTTAACTTTTCCCCAACCCACAACTTGGAAATGGTATGTTAGGAAATTTGCTGTTGTGGTTAATACTGTAGTAGGGACCATATTCTTACTGGATAGTCTACTGTGAAGGTAAAGGAGACATTATTTGCATTTTCCTCTTTAAAGAGAGGAGCTCTAGTGACACTGTGGTTAGAGCACCATGCTGCTAGTCAAAGGGTCAAAAATTCAAACCCACTAGTCGCTCTGCAGAATAAAGATGAGGCAGCCTGCTTCTGTAAAGATTTTACAGCTTTGACAACCCTATGAATCAGTTCTGCTCTGTCTTATGTGCTCACTATTAGTTGGAATCAACTCAATGGCAGTGGGTCTGTAAACGAGCAAGGTAGCTAACATTTTAGCCATATTCTCCTATCTTTCTACTTATGACAGTGTAAATCAGGTTAACTCTCTCAGGGAATGAAAATGAGAGGCCTAAATAAGAATCCAGCCATCCTCCTAGTATATGAGAATTATCTTAAATTTCTTTTTAAAAATCATTGTCTTATGCTACTCCATGCCCCCATCCAATGCACACCAATGAAATCTGTTGGAATGAGAGAGACACAGAAGGACAGGAACGTGTTTTCCGTGGCTGCCCTTTCGGATAAGCAATGTATGTTGGAGAGTTATATGACCATGGTCCTCCTTTACATAACAGAGGAAGTTCAGAATGAAGATTACTTATGAATGAGTTCCATTAATGCCAGGTATTGCTTTTCTGTCCTCTCTACTTGCGTACTAGAAAATCTTAGCTGGCCCGGAGCACAAAAATGGTGAGATCAAGCCAAAGAGTAGGAGAAGATGGGGTCTTGTTTCCAGGTCAACAAAGGATTCAGATGATTGGGCTGACTTGGATGACTTGGATTTCAGTCCATCCCTCACCAGGATTGATTTGAAGAACAAAAAAAGACAGAGCGATGAAACTCTCTGCAGGCAAGTTTTCTGCTGATATGTGTAAGCAAATGGAATCTGAGGTTTGTGAGATTATTTTTCATATATGTGGTGATACTTACTTGCTTGTCCTGACCTAAAATACATTGTCTCAATTCAGATTTGAGAGTGTTTTGGACCTGAAGCCCTCTGAGCATGTGGGTACAGGAAACAGTGCCCCCAGCCAGACTTCCTCTCAGAGGCGAGACACGCCCACCTTGAGATCCACAGCCAAGCAGCACTACTTGAAGCACTCTCGATACTTACCTGGTAACAGAAATGCCTTACTTTTACTTTGATCATTGATAATAAATCATTTCCTTGAAATTACATATTCACAAAGATTCTGATTTGGAAGACAAATAATTGGAGGTATCTCTTCAGAACTGATGGGAGTATCAGAGAAATAGTTGCTGAAGCCCAGGCTCATATTTTTATCTTATATAATTGTGTCACAGTATGTAAGCAGAAGGTCAGTGGTTCAAACCCACCAATTGTTCTGTGGGAGGAAGATGAGGCAATCTACTTCTATAAAGATTTACAGCCTTGGAAACCCTATGGGCGTCTCTGTGAGTTAGAATTGACTCAGTGGCCGTGAGTTTGGTTTTTGAGTTTTCATAATTGCCTGGAATAAGAAATTTGGTGTAGGCAACCAGGCCCAGCCTCTGGGGAGGGAAGAACTGGCAAGAACTAGGCAGTATATCTGAGGCCTTTACAGCAGACAAAGTGTTAGGAGAAGTTAACAGCCCTGTGCACTTTAGGAAGCCAGGAGAGTAGAAACTTGTGTCACGTCATCCGGGCAGTACTATAAGGATTACATTTAAAAGCTATTGTTTGGTGAATTCCCAAGCCTTTCTCCAGATTCTCCATGTTCCAAGCTTTACAGCATGAGCCTATCATTTATTCACAAGTGCATTCACTTGGAGTATACTTATTGAGCATCTACTGTGTGCTTGGTCTGGGAGTATGGTGAGCAAAATAGCCAAGCAAGGCCACTGTGTGGCACAACTCCAGGGGCTCCATCCGCATTACAGTCTGTGCAGTGGTTGCCGTCTATCATATGACACTGTCATAATCAGTCTTGCTTTGATTGTTGCATAACAGAAGTTTTCTGCATTAATTTCATCTCTGAAGTTGGGTAAAAGATTAAATATGTATTTTGCATTTTAAAATTGTTTGTTCCCTATTAGGAATAAATATAAGAAATGGCATACTCCCAAATCCAGGCAAGGATTTTATTCCATCTAATCCATGGTCTAGTTCTGGTTTGTCTGGAAAATCTTCAGGGACAGTATCAGTAATCAGCAAAATTAATTCAGGTGAGCAATGATTCTTCACTCTTAAAAGATAAAAAGCAAATTATCTGGATGTGGTGAGATGGGTGAACAGACATGGGACAAGTTTGGGAGCCATGAGGGCCTCTTTCCTCTCTCTTGGCAGCAGGACTTGAGGACTCAGCCAGCTCTCACTGGGATCTCTCTTCAAGAGTACCTGGGGAGTAGAGCATAATCTCCCCTTGTTCACGGGAAAAACAGAGATAACTTAAAAAGTTTGACTACTGAGCTTCTGGGCTACAGCAGCTGATCTCTTTCTGTGTTAGAAGCCCAGTTCCGTCTGCCTTGTGCCAGCTTCTCTCTTCCTTGTGGTGATGCAGCCTTAGGGCCAGGGCATCAGACTCCCTTCAGATTGGAACATGGACTGGAAGGCCTTGTGTTTATTTTTTTCAAATGATAAAAGAATTTCATAAGACCTTCAGGCTGATTGACCCCAGTCTCAGTAGACCAGTTGACCATTTAGTTTTCCCCTAACACAGGCAGCCCCTGCTTCCCTGTCAGTATCCAAATAAAATGTGGGCTTCACTTTTCCATGCCTTTGTCCATTATGCACTTATTTATTTTAAGAAATACAAAAATGAAAGAGATAATGTATCCGCATCCTTATACCCACTATCCAACTTAATGAACTTTGTAAATATATATGAAGAGGAGTATCCAGCCCACTCCTTCCCCCCTCCCTCCCTACTGGCCTGATTTGGATATTTATTATTCCCCCCTGCATGTTATTTATTTATCACTATTTATTTATTTTCTACTATACATGAAATAGGAGCTCTGGTGGCATAGTGCGTAAGGCACTTGACTGCTAATCAGAAGGCTGGTGGTTCAAACCCACCAGCCACTTCTTGGAAGGAAGATTGGGCAATCTACTTCTGTAGAGATACCACCTTGGAAACCCAAGGAAGGGTTGCTATGAGTCAGAAACAACTCGATGGCAGTGAGTTTGGTTTTAGTTTTAGATACGTGAAATAAGGAGCTCTGTTGGTGCAGTGTCTCAGGCATTTGACTACTAACTAGAAGGTTGGTAGTTCAAACCCACCAGCCATTCCATAGAAGGAAGATAGGGTAATCTACTTCTGTAAAGATTTACTGCCTCAGAAATCCAATGGCGGTCACTATGAGTCAGACTGACTCAGTGGCAGTGGATTTAGGTTTTTTTGGTATACATAAAATACATAGTATGGTTTTACATGTTTTAAAATTTATATAAATATAATCCTGGATCTCCAGTTTACTCATATGAATAAATATATGTGTGTGTATAGCAGTTATACATGCACACACATGTTCTATACCAGCCCATGATTTATTATTTGTACTACACCATGATTTATTTACCTATTCTCTTCTTGGTGAACATGTAAGTTGTTTACAATTTTTGCTATTGTAAAGAGTGCTGGAATGGACATTGTTTTACCCCTATTATTGTTCATATGTGAGTATCTCTGGGTATAATAACTAGGAATAAATACTTTAGGTTAAAGGGTGTGCTCATCTCCACTTTCACAGATATTGCCAAATTGCTCTCCAGCAGAGTATGGGAGTTGTGCTGCATCTTTGATGCCACTTGGTACTGTCAGAATTGAAAATTTTTGCTAACCTGGGTGTGAAATAGTATCTTATTGTGGTTTAAACTTGCATGTCCTGTTTACTAATGAAGTTGAGCATCTTTTCTAGTTTTTTTTTTTGTGATTTGCCTATTCAACTTCACTACCCATTTTTTCCCTCTTTATTTATTTACCAAAAATGAAGAATGTGCTCCAGCTGAGCAACAAAACTCCTCACACATGCATTCCCAGACCATTTTCCCCACGCTTCCTTAAGCAATTGACAAGAACACTCTGTATTGTGAAGACATAAAACAGTTCTTGTTAACTCTTCCTAACAGATATAACTTCCATCTATCTAATGGCCAATAATAACATTCTTCATTATTCCATGTGTACCTTTAAGCCTTCATAACAAGAGCTATAGATATTCATTTATCCAATATATATTGATTATCTACTATATTCAGGGTCTTCATTCCATTAACCTCCTAGAATATAAAGATGCGTAGTATATACTTCCTGCCATTAAAGCACTCTCGATATGTAAAAAAAAAAAAAAAGAAAAAAGAATTTATTTAATATATCTTAACAATGGGTCATTTTTCTGATTATAAAAATAAAGCACAAAGATTTATTGACAAGAATATTTAGTGTAGATTTCTAATAGCTAAATAAGCCTGATAATGTATATATTGATCCATAAGCGAAGAGCCTTACTCTAGAATTTGTAAACACTGACATGGAAGGATAAGTATTCTCTATTACAGAGTGAAATAAAGCAAATGTGAAATAAAGCAAATTTCAGAGTGGAAAAAACCTATTTTTATTTTAAAAAAATTAAGAAAAATGTCAAATCTCTATTTGGTTACAGTCTATTAGGTAGTGGTGTCTTTCACCCCCTAGACTTTCTAACAGTGTGGCTTGGTGGAATGCTCTGCTCAGAATTCACTAGCATTTTCATCCTAATTCTTCTTTTTCCCTTAAAAGGAAAAACTTAATTGCTTGGTTGGTCTGCACGGCTTTCCTTTATCCCTGTTTGTATGTTGCATATGTGTCTTTGTACTAATGAGCTTTTGCTTTTGCAAATCAGTTGGTTCCGGCTCTACAAGTTCCAGTGGACTAACTGGAAATTACATCCCTTCCTTTCTCAAAAAAGAAATTGGTTCGACTGTGCAACGGGTACACTTGGCACCTATTCCAGATCCTTCCCCCGGTAAGTTCTATTTCAGATTATGCATGAATTCATTCAAAAAATAGTTACAGAACAACTGCTCTGTGCCAGGCATATTGTAGGCCTAGGTATGGTGAAAAAAAGACAAAAAACCCCTTTCTTTATAGAGCTTCACTTTAATTGTGGATGGAGAAACAGACAACTGTAAGCAGGATTAGTATGAGATAAAGTATGTCAGATGGTCATAAAGGCTAAGGAGAAAAGTAAAGCAGGCAGGAAGTAGGGATGTGGAAGCTAGAGTATGTGGTGCAGTTTGCAATTTTCAATAGGGTAGGCAGAGAAGGACTCACTGCAAAGGGGATGTTGAGTAAAAATCTGAAGGAGGTACATGAGGAAGCGGTACAGGGTGGGAGAGTTCCAGTCTTGGGAATCTTAAATGCAAGAGCTTTCAGGAGTAGCAAAGAGGCCAGAATGTAAGAATGGTGTGAGTCAGAGAAGGAGGAGTAGGAAGAAGAGGTTGGAGAGGTGACAAGAGGCCTGATGTTGTCAGCCCTACAGGCCATTTTGTAGCCTACTCTGAGCAGCACTGGGGAGTCCTGGGAGGGTTTTGTACAGATGAGTGAGGTGATCTGACTACCATTTTAACAGGCTCACTCAGGCTCAGGGTTTTCACTAGACTGAAGGGGAGCAAGGTTGGAAGCAGGGAAACCAATTAGGTGGCTGTTAAAATTATCCAGGCAAGAAATGACACTAGCTTGGGCCAGGCTGTTAATAGTTGAAGTGGTAAAATGTAATCGAATTTTGCCAACAGGATTTGCTTGACAGATTTTAAGTGAGATAGGAGAAAAAACAGAGAGTTCAAGAATGACACCAATATTTTGTATCCATGTTGTGCAATGAAAACTACAGAATGTACCTAAAGCACAATAAAAAAAAATTAAAAATAAAGAAAACTATGGAATGGACTTGATCTTAACTGAGATAGGGAAGACTGGGAGAAAGATCAGGGCCTCAAGTTTGGAGCATGCTTAGTTGAGATGACTCTTAGACATCCAAGGGGAAATGTCGAATAGGCACTTGGGTATATGATTCTTGATCTTACGGGAGTGGTCTGGGCTAGAGACGTGAATATAGGAGTAACTAGTCTATAGATGTGAAGTTAAACCATGAATCTCGAAGCAAGCACCAAGGAGATGAGTGTGGATGGAGAAGAGAGGAGAGCCAAGGACTGAGCCCTGGGACCACTACAGTATTAAGAGGTAGAGGTGATGAGAAAGAGCCAACAAAGGACAAGCAAAGGCAATCTGTTGATAGGAGGGAGACCAGGGAAGCCAAGTGAAGTGCTTTGAGAGGTGGGAGAAACCATATGTGTCTATTGTTACAGAGAAGCAAAAGAAGATGAGAACAAAGAAGTTGAATTTAGCAATGAGGGATCATCGTGTGCTTGATAAGAGAAGTTGCAGAGAGTATGAAACTGATGGGCAGGGGATTCAAAAGAGAATTCATATATACTAAAGACCATTGAATTATACACTTCAAATTGGTGACTTTTATTTATGGTATGTGAATTATATTTCAAAGGGATTTAAAAAAGAGAAAGAATAAGTACTTAGTAATTATAAAGGGAGGGGAAAAAAAGTAACTTTACAGTGGTGACACCTTCACAAGGTAATTAAACCGAATATCCCCAGTACTGGGACAGGCCAACATCATGTGCCTCCTAATAAGATGCAGCCTCCCTTCTGTGATATTCCTGCCAAAATAATGTGTCTTGAATCTCCATGAGGAAACATCATACAAACTCAAGTTAAGGGATAATCTACAAAAGAATTGGCCTGGGTACTGCAAAGCAGTACCAAGATGAAACAAAGAAGAGATGGGAATTGTTCCAGATTTAAAGAAGTTAAAGAGACATGGAAAATAAGTAGAATGAATGCTTGAGTGTTGGACCAGGGAAAATCACTGTTGAGGCAATTGATAAAAAGTGGATGAGGTGACACTATTACATCAATGTTAAGTTTCCTAATTTTAATAACCATTAACTATGTAAAATGAATTTGTTCTTAAGAAATGCACAATGAAGTATAAGGGGTCAATGAGTGCTGTATCTCTAACTTATTTTCAAATGATTTAGGGGAAAAAATGCATGTATAAAGTAAACAGGGAAAATGTAACTAGTTGATGAATCTATATTAAGAGTTTGTGGGAGTTTCTTATATTCTTGCAACTTTTTTATAAGTTTGAAACTATATCAAAATAAAAAGTTATAAGAAAAGAAAAAATAAGAAGAGAAATTGGAGAGAGCAAATACAGAGAAGTCTAAAATCTTAAAGAATTTACTTCTAAGAGGAAGGAGGGAAATTAAGTGGTAGTAAAGGAGGAAGTAGTGTCAAGAGAGGATTTTTTTGAAAAAAAATTTATTGTGATTTGGGTGAAAGTTTACAGAGCAAATTCACTTTCCATACAGCAGCTCACAGTATACTTTGTCTCATGCCATTGACTGTAATTTCCCACATACAACAGGTCCTCTCCTACTTCCTCCCCATGGTTGTCTGTTCCATATGTCCTTCCCTCCTGTGCACTCCTGCCCCCACCAAGCTGTCTCCCTGTGTATACACAGCCCTTCTATTCTCCCATGATTGATCTCTCTAAGGAGTGTGTCTAATGTAAATGTTCAGTTCATATGCCTGTCTTTTGTTTGACTGGAAGCCACAGGAGTGGGTTCATTTCCAAACCTGAAGGGCAGCAAGGGGCCATAGTCTCAGTGGTTCCATCAGGCTCTATCAGACCAGCAAACCTGGTCCTTTTTTTCTTTTTTTTTTTAATGATTTTGAGTTTTGTTCCACGTTGTTTTCCCACTCTATCCAGGATCTCCTATATAGATCCCCATCCGAGTGGTTGACAGAGGTAGCCGGGCACCATCTAGTTCTTCTGGTCTCATAGTCATTTAGGCTGAGGAGTGCATGGTGTACAATGCAATAAGTCACTTGGACTAATTGTTTCCATGCATCTTTGGTTTTCTTCATTCTTCTTTGCTCTGGACAAGAAGAGACCCATTGTTGCATCTAGATGGCCACTTCCAAGCTTTTAAGATCCCAGTTGCTACTCGCCAAAATAGGATGTGAAACAATGTTTTGTGTAGTATGTTATGCCAATTGAGCTTGATGTCCCCTGTGACCATGGTGCCCAGCCCACAGGTCCAACTACTCACTCCCTCTGGGTCACTGGCTATGGCCAAGAATTGACTACAACCTTGTCCCTTGTCTGCTCTACTGTATACCCTGGAATTCCTACAGAACATACCAATACACTTATAGAAACATTGTCTGCCACCTCTATACATGGTCTTGGGCACACTCTCCCCCACATGAGAGGATTTTTATTTTTAAGATAGAGGGAATTATAGCATGGATACTGATGGGAAAGATCCAAAACAAAGAGAAAAAATGATGCTGCAGGGAAGAGGGGGAGAATTGGTGGGGAGGCATCCCTATATAGGCTCCAGATAGGCAGGTGGGGCTCAGTGCCCTAATAGAGGGGCTCACCTTTGCCAGGATCAGGGTCAGTTCCTCCTTGGACAAAGAGGAATACAGAGCATCTGGGCAGACCCACTAGCAGGTAGGTAGAGAAGCTGATGACAGTATGTACTTTTGCTCAGTGAAATAGGAAGCACAGCCACTAGCTGATAGTGAGAAGGATGGAGTAGGTGCAGAGGAGAATCTAAAGCATGGCACGTGTGCTAGGTGCCACTTGAACAGGGGCACCACTAAGTAGCTTCTGTTAACCATCGCAGTTGCCATCACCAGCTGTGAGAGATCATGCAGCAAGTTAAAACTAATACTCCTGTATTTAAGAGAATCATGAGTCAAGGCAGACTATGTGATCTTGCTCTGCCGAGTATAAAAAGAGAAGAACCTGAAAAAAGACTTTGAGCCCATCATAGACCAATTTTCATCAGTGAAAGCAAGGAAGGTACAATTCTAATTTTCATATCATAATGTGTTAAATAAGAGATTAACAAACTTGGCTTGTATTTTTGAGCTGATATTATGGTAAAGTTATTTAAAAGATGTCTGTCAGATGTTTGGACAGGGATGCAATTTGAGTGCTTGCTACAGGCGCTATTTTCCATAGCTTTGCTTCTGAGTAGGTGTTAGAAATGTAGTGAGATTATGAAATAGTCGTCTGGGAAGGGGGTAGTGTGGAGGGTCTGGTAATGAATCTGATTGCGAGGCAGCATGAAGGGCCCACTTAAGGTAAGTGATCTTGAATTGAAGTGAGACCTGTCAACAGAGTGTGTTTTTCTCCAACCATGTTCAGCTGTACATGTGCAGACAGAAGTTGACAGAGAGTTGGATTTAATCAGAACTGTGGTTTAGCCAAGGAACCCTAGTGGCGCAGTGGTTAAAGCAATTGGCTATTAATTAAAAGGTAGATGGTTTGATCATACCAGCTGCTCCATGGGAGAAAGATGTGGCCGTCTGCTTCCATAAAGATTACCACCTTGGAAACCTTATGAGGCAGTTCTGCTTTGTCCTGTAGGGTTGCAATGAGTCAAAATCAACTCGATGACAGTGGATTTGATTTGGTTGGGTAGTTTAGACAGGTGAGTTTTATGAAGTCAGAGAAAAGGGGATGGAGTTGAGAATGCATGTAAAGGAGTGAATATAAGGCTGGACTGTGGAATTAAGACTTCATAAGGACCTCTTGTGGGACAGTGGGTAAAGCATTCAGCTACTAACCAAAGGTTTGGTAGTTCTGACCACCAGCCTTTTTGCAGGAGAAAGATAAGGCAGTCTGCTTCCATGAAGATTTACAGCCTTGGAAACTCTATGGGGCAGTTCTATCCTGTCCTATAGAGTCACTATGAATAGCAATTGACTCAGTGGCAGTGGGTTTTTTTTTTTTGTTGTTGTTATTGTTAGGGAAGAAAGAAAGAACATGAGAAGGCAGAGAACCATACTATAGTACCAACAGATTGTGATTGAGTTTGGGTACTGGAGGAAGTGAGCTAGAAAGACAGGAGGTCAGCCAAGTGACTA